ATTGATTTCACAAACTCAAACTTCCAAATGCTTAAAAGCTTCTTAAACACACTTAAACCAAACTAAAACCCTTGTTAAAACTCTTTAAAACTTGGTTAAGAAACTCTCTTGGTTGTTGCTGAAAGATGAGAGCAATGGGGTATTTATAGTCTCTCAAAACATTAGCAAAACCCAATAGAAAAGACCAAAAAGCCATCAGAAAACAGCTAGAAAAATAGCCGTTGGAACTGAAAAGACAGAGCGGCGGTCGACCGCGAGCAACAAAGAAACATAAAAAGGCTCTGGACAACAGGCGGTCGACCGCGAAAGTCTCTGGACTGCGTACGGTCGACCGCCACGGTCGACCCCCCGCCCCGCCCCCCCCCCCAGCCATAAAAACCTATAATGAGTTTCTGAACTCGTGACGGTCGACCGTGACGGTCGACCGCGAACTGATACTACAGAAAACAGGTTTTAAAAGCAGATTTTTGAGACTTTAAAAATATGTTAAAAATAACAAATAAAGTCCAAAAATAATGAAACTTTGGAAAATATATATAAACATGTAAATGAACATATTACAAAAAGAATTTTCTAAATTGCATTTCCCATTTGTGAAAAATCATCATTTTGCAGAATAGTCCAAAACATGAAAATGTAAACATATGAATTTTGACATTTTAGCTAAACCATGTTTTGAAACTTTACAAAATAATTTTATAGACTTGAAGAAAGATGTAAACTATTGTTATGAAGTCTATAAACAATGAATATAGTATTTTCACAAATACAATAGAAAATGAAACATATGAGTATGTATATAAAAATATATTTGTTTCATATCTAAGTAGTTAAACCAAATCACAATAATAAATATGGAATATGTAATTTCATATTTGTAAACATGAAAACCCAAAACCATGCATGTATATATATAACTATATATATACATAGAAACCAAATACGTGTGTGTATATGATATTGAGCTTAAGGTACTTAACACACATAATATAAAACCTAAACTAAGTTACCCAAGTTAAATCTTGATCTTCAATAAGCTTGACTTTGTACACTATGCGGATGAACCTGAGCTTGGATCTTGAACTTGAATTGCATAAGCTTCAACCACTATTCCACCAACCTCCATTTGATATGATCGTTATAACGCAATCCATCCATCCTCTAACTCGTTATTTGCCTAGAATAAATACGAAAACACAAACACTAGACAAACAACATCATCCATCCTCTAACTCGTTATTTGCCTAGAATAAATACGAAAACACAAACACTAGACAAACAACATTAGAAGTAAATTACGAAAACACAAACACTAGACAAACAACATTAGAAGTAAATTGTTTGTTAAACATCATCAAAACAATAAGACCAACAGAAATAAAAGTATTAGAAGGAGGCAGACTGGCAACTGGAGATGACTTTTCGGTTGGAGCAGAGAGAAGAACTTTTGGACGGCGAGAACACGTCAGTAGTGGCGGTGATGCAGGTGGCAAAGTAGAGGCATCTTGTAAACCTGGAGAAGATCCATTGGTAGAAGGAACTAAAGCAGACAATGAAACAGTAATAGGAGCAATAGATGGTAGAAGAATACATGGATTGACAGTTGGAGATGGACCAGCCGAAGAGAAGTATGGAACAGACTCAAAAAAAGTAACATCTGCGGACACAAAATACCTTATTGTGGATGGATTATAACATCGATAACCTTTTTGAGTATGTGAATATCCCACAAAGACTCACTTAATAGACCGTGGAGATAATTTATCCAGTCTCGGAGATAAATCCTGAACAAAACAAGTACAACCAAAAACACGAGGAACCACTGGAAAAATCTGTTTCTCAGGATAAAGGCAGGTGAATGGTATTTTACCATTAAGAACAGAAGAGGTCATCCTATTAATCAAGAAACATGCACTAAGAACAACTTCAGACCACAAATACTTTAGAATATTCATATGTATCATCAAGATTCTAGCAACATCTAAAATATGTCTATGCTTCCTCTCGGTAACTTTATTTTGTTGTGAAGTGTGAGAGCACGAAGTTTGATAAAGAATACCAATATTTGCACAAAAACGAGAGACATCATTTTTCATGTATTCCAAAGCATTATCGGTACGAAGAATACGAATTGAGGTAGAAAATTTATTTTTATTTCATTATAAAACATTTCAATAATAGTGAAAACCTCAGATCTCTTTTAACAGATAAAGCCAAGTCATGCTAGAAAAGTCATCAACAAAGACAATGAAATATCTAAAACCTTTCATAGAAGCTATACGACAAGGACCCCAAACATAAGAATGCACTAACTCAAACGCAGAATTACTGCGTTTATCAACACGACTCTGATAAGTAGCACGATGGTGTTTGCCCAGTTCACAAGACTCACAACCTAAAGAAGAAATAGAAGACTGAATAGAAATGACAGACCAAAGCTTCGATATCGAGAAATGATCAATGCGCCAATGCTATAGTAAAGAATGATCAGGCTTATCTACAACAAGACCAGTAGCGGGCGCATTGTCGTCCAAATAGTACATGCCTTCTCTCTCATGTCTCGAACCAATCTTCATCACAGTCGGTCCTAAAAAACACAATAAGAAGGAAAGAATGTTACTTTACAGTTATTGTGTTTGGTGAATTTACTGATAGATAGTAAATTAACAGGAAACTTAGGAAGATATAGAACATCAGTAAGAGTCAATGATGAAGTAGCATGGACTACTCCATCACCAAGAACTGGAGAGTATGTATCATCGGCAATACTGACAGATGGAAACTTGTCAGAAAGATTTAAGGATACAAAGTGGTCCTTTATACCTGTCATATGAGATGAGACACCAGAATCTAATACCCATGATCTATGAGGAGAGGCAATGTGTAGACATCCATACCTGAAAAGGATGCATGAGTAGCAGAATAACTGTTCTGAGAGGGCTTGAGTTGACGCAACCGGTCATACTCATTCTTAGAAATCTGAACTGTGGAGGGAGCAGAAGTAGTCCTAGGAGAAGCAGCAGATGTAGATATAATATCAATTATTTGGGCCCATGTAGGACCAAACTTTTCCCAACACTTCGCAGATATATGATTAATCCTTCTACAATATCTGCACTGACGCATACTCCTATCTGAGTCAATCTGTCTCCCACCAAAAGGGCATCGTCCTCCCCCTGAATCGCGGCTATGTCCGCGACCACGATCGCAACATCTGCCACGTCCGGAGAACATAGCAGACTGATCAAGTGACGGAGGAGACGGTGTGGGTGATGCAGTAGTAACTCTAATAGATACATGCATAACTCTGGAGAATGTAGCAGTCAATAAAGGAATAGTATCTCCTCCTAGTATCTGGCCCCATACCTGAGACTGTAAAGTGGGACTCAGACCTGACAAGAACTTGGACACTACGAGGTCCCTACGATATCTCAACAGCGTCGATGCATCCATAACGACGGGCTGATGCATCTCTAATTCATCGATCAGACCTTTCAGCTCACCTAAGTACTCAGGAACAGAGCGATCGCCCTGTTGAAGGGAAAAAAGTCGTTCATACAGCTCAAACACATGGGATGCATTCTTCTCATTGCCGCATATAATTTGTAAATTATCCCACATCTCCTTAGCAGTGGTCGAAAACATGACACTATTACTGATCTGCGCTTCCATGTTGTTAAGAAGCCAAGTCATCACAGTCAGCAGAGATTCATGTAGGATACATAGGATCTGTAGAAGTAGGAGGTGAGGCCAGAAGATAAGTCAATTTGTTCTGAGCTCCAATGAAGATGCGAAAGGTTTGTGCTCAAAAGAGATAATTAGTGTCATTTAACTTCACAGTGGTCCCTAATATAACTTTGAGTGCAGAAATCTCAGCAGCAGTAGTAGTAGTGACAGCAGAAGAGATGTCAGATCTTGTCATCTTTACAGAACAGGATAGTACGGTAGCAGAAGAATCGTAATCTTCTTTTATAGTACCCGAAGGTTTAAAATAGAAACTTGAAGGTTAGAACCCGAATGTTAGAATGGAACCCGAATGTTAGAATGAAAACCCGAATGTTTTATAAAAAGAAAACCCGAAGGTTAAGAGCGACGGCGACAGTGAGTAGAGAGAGCAACGAAGTCGGATTGCTGGCGATGGGTCAAGATCAGTTCACTTTTTCTGAAAACGCGGGGAATATTATAAAGGAGGAGGCAGCAAAAGGATTAAACCCATGAGTCATAGTCTGATTGTGGTAGTTGGTCTTGTTCTGCTTTTCCTCGTTGGAAATTATGCACTTTATGTTTATGGACATAAGACTTCCTCCAAAAAAGAGAAGAAGCCTGTTTCAACGAAGAAGATGATGATGGTGGGCGGTTGATGGTCAAGGCCCGCTGCTTGATGGAGAACTTGAATTCCTGCACGCTGGCTTCATGTTGTCAGCGTAGAACGTTGACAGGTTCGGCAAAGAGTCAATCAGATATGGGCTGTCGGTGTTAGTCTCCAGCACCTTCTTCAACTTTCGGGAGCAGCCCGGCGACGACGACAGATGTGAGCACAGAGGGCGACAAGGATGGTGGCGGCAACCGAGATCTGAGGCCGCAACGAGGAGAAAGATGGTGGGTAACGGCGGCGCGCAGAGAAGCTTGGAGAGGCGGCTAGGGTTCAGAGCTACAGTACAATTTTTTTTAAAATTAGGGTTAGGGTTTGGAGGGTTTGCTCTGATACCATATTAAGATGGTAAATCAGAATTGTATATTTTATTCATCACCATGGGTCTATATATATAGGAGTACATATGGGTAAATAGGTTAATGGGTCCTAACCCGATAACCCAATACTAATTCCAAAAGACATGAAGCTTATTGGATGTTTGTCATTGAATGGGATAATCAATTCTAGTGTTCTGGTGGTTTTTTTATTTACGTGTGTTAATGTACTTTTAGTTTTAAGTAGCATAATATTTAATCAGTCTTTTTTATTGGACATAATATCATTACTAATGTGGTCCTTTTTTCAGCATGCCTCTACAGATTTGTGTGGCACTGTATCTTTTATACACGCAAGTCCGTTTTGCATTTGTTGCTGGACTTGTAATAACCATACTGCTCATACCAGGTAACAATACAACTAACTGAATGCACGCAAATAGTACAACCTCCACACAAAAATGCTAACCCCGCTTGGCAACACATCTATTTCACATTTTAAACTCTTCTTAATATTTTATTGTGCTTGGAGGCACGGCTCACTACATAATCACTTCCTTTTCAGTAAACAAATGGATCTCTACACTTATTGCAAGAGCAACAGAGGGAATGATGAAAGAAAAGGATGAAAGGTAACTTGGTGGCTCTTTATCTGAGATCATTATCATTTGAATCTCGTTCTTGTTATATCGTCTTACTGTATGATAGTCTTACAGTAAGGTAAGCATGTTTATAATGTGCATGGTAGTAATATCTGTTGACGGTTAATCCTAAAAAAGTTGTATCATCATACCATGCACACATGGAATAGGAGTTTATGAGTTGAGGGACAGGTGCGTATTTGGGAGGTTTTGGGCAGCACGAGGAGCGCAGCACATATAGCAGGAGCATGATTGTGACAATGCATACAAATAATAGCCATTCTTTCAGGTCTTTTGGTTGGCTAGGGGTCATGATGCCACATATAACAGAAAGCAGGACGTCTCAAATCTTTTCGTTGATCCATTTTTTTTTCCTTTTCCTAATAATACCTTTAACTAGTATGCTATGTTCCCAGAGGCACCACCAATTGATCCCTCTGCAGACCATCATTAATCATTTTCACACTTCATCCATTATTGAAGCTATTCTTCTTCCCAGTAACACAGATGCAGAGTTGGACTACATTTTAATATTTGGAGAATTTAAGATTTTCTCTCTTTGATTGTTTTAAAGTAACTTCAAAGTGTTGTAATTCTTTTGTTAGCATGTAGCAATTGCATTTTATTTACCAGAGTGATTGAATGTTCAATCATAAAAGTACTCTAATGGCAACCAACTTCTTCAATATTTTTGAAGATACCAAGCAAGAAAGGTATAGCCAAAAACAAACCATAATAACATGCATAGTATTGTGTACCTTTCAAGCCTATATTTAAGTATTTTCCATGTCAGTTTCTTTGTTCCATCATATAAATATATTTAGTTTGAACTACCTTTGTGTCATTTATGTAATTGCCATAATTTGAATCATACACAGGATTAGAGGTGCTGGAGAACTTTTATCGTATATTCGCACTCTGAAGATGTATGGCTGGGAGTCTATATTTGCTGACCGATTGATGGAAAGAAGAGAAATGGAAGTGAAATACCTCTCTGTGAGCCACAACGGTCCTTGATTTGAATTTGTGTTAGTTATAACATCAAATTCTGATATTTTTACCCATTCTTTTCTAGACACGGAAATATTTGGATGCCTGGTGTGTATTTTTCTGGGCAACAACACCTACTCTTTTTTCTCTGTTTACATTTAGCACCTTCGCGCTAATGGGTCATCCGCTAAATGCTGCTACGGTAATTCCATGATGCTTTTATGTTTCCTCTTGTGATATTTCATGAAATTATGTATGTGGGAGTTCACTGATCCATTCTTGGACCCATTCCGCAGGTGTTCACTTGTATTGCTCTATTCAATACATTGATCACTCCCTTGAATTCTTTTCCATGGGTGATTAATGGACTAATTGATGTAAGCTGTTTATTAATCATATTCCCAACTTTGAGCAGTACGATGTGTCATCTTCTAGTTTCATTTTATTGCAGGCTGTAATTTCTACAAGGCGATTGAGCAAGTTCCTGTCCTGTCCTGAGCATAAATCCGCAGAGAAGCATCCTTCACACGGACAGTCATGTATTCTGGATACTCTGTCATGTTCTTCTGAAGGTCAGAGAGTCACTGATGCTGATCCATTGGCTATAGTTTTTCAAGATGCATGTTGTGTTTGGTCAAGTAGCAATGAAGAAGACTATCGCACCATATTGAGCAGAATTACACTGAACCTGCCAAGGGGCATGCTTATTGCTATAATTGGAGAGGTTTTTCTTTATTCTGTTTATAGTTTCTTTATCAGTAAAGTCCAAATCACTTAAATGTAGGGAATGTATACTTCATTAATAACTGATCTATTTCTGAATCAAAATTTCAGTTGTCTGTTTATTTGTTTAGTTTTTCGGCGTAGGGTATTGGAAGTTGAGTTTAGGTTTCAAGTGATCTTAAATCCCTAATCGATTCGGGTCTTCATTTGATCTTCTCACAATTCATGGATTAGTATTTCAAAATGGTGATGTATATGGCAATTTATTACCTAATAATTAAGACTGATTTTGTTGACATATTTAAACAGTGTGACACTATTATAATATTTTTGTTAATCATTCTCAGGTTTCAATTACAACACTTAATAACACTAGCCCATATTTATTTAATCATTCTCAGGTTTCTATTACAGCACCTAATCATTCTCAGGTTTCTATTACAACACTTAATAACACTAGCCCATATTTGTTTCTTTTTGCTGGAATGTTGTTTTAAACCTCAACTGGCCTGTAGTTTCAGTAAGTTTCTTAAGTTAAAACTTGATATTGGTTGTCACTCAGTATGCATTGTTTATATATTTTGCTTGGTAGATTGAATTGCCTGATGATTTTCAATTGGCTAAATTACCAAATTGGCATTTTTATTAGGACCCTTGCTCCAATGTGGTTTTTTTTTGTTCTTTCACTTGTGACATTATGGTGTTAATATCAAAATTAATGCCAATGTGATTATTTTTTCTACTACTAAATATACTAATTTGGTTACTTTTCTTATATAAAATAATAGCAAATTGACGTCAAGGCTTCAACTGTTGATATTAATACCATAACGTCGCAAGTGAAAATAAAAATACTATATTGTAAATATAGCCCTGCTAAATATACCAATCTGGTAATTTAGCCTTTTCAGATTTACACATGCTTTGCGATGATCCTATAAAAATTTATATTGTTAAGCTCGTAACAAATGAAAATATTGTATCTTACCATCAGTACATGCATTCAGACTACGTAATCATTTTCTTTCAATATAAAAACATATTCCTCAACCCTCATCATAACTTTAGAGTTATAGTGTGACAGAAAGGACATTTAAGACATTTTATAAACCTTATAGTCTGCAACTTCCGACACTTGTGTGCTAAATCATCTTTTTTTTAAATAAAGATCCTATTGCTTGTACATACCTAGTTCTGATGTCTATTTTCTGTGTGATTCGTCTGTTGATTGTACTCGCTTAGACTGCTGTAATTTATTCCTTAGCTATTACTTTTCCAGATTGGTTCAGGTAAATCATCCTTGTTAAGTTCTATTTTGGGAGAGATGCGGACTGTTAATGGGTTGATAAGTTCCCGAGGATCGATAGCATATGTACCACAGGTTTACTTTTTTTTATCTAAAGGGGTTCTCTTTTTCAATTTACTATTAAAATATTCAGACTTGTAGCCTATTCTTAATGTAGGTACCTTGGATCCTATCAGGATCTATACGCGATAACATTTTATTTGGTGAAAAACCAAATGCTAGAAGGTAAGCTGGGCCAACTTATGGGAAGACTTTTCTCCTTTCTAAGTTTGTTTAACATGCATTCTTTAGACCATAACCCATTAGCTTATGCTTTGGGTTAGTCAGTCTCTACATGGTGCCATGTGCCAACACCATCCTTCAATATTGATAATCCAAACAGCATTTGTTTGACCCCATTTTTATTCTGATTCCAAGCATTTTTTGTTGCTCTTGGAGGCCTTTCCACACGCCCGAGGGTCCATGTGCCTGGTACCATACTGTTGCTTGATGTATACCATTTTCCAAGCATTTTTGTTGCTCTTGGTTTCAATCTTCAATATTGATAATCCAAACAGCATTTGCTCAACCCCATATTGTTCTGATTCCAAGCATTTTTTATGCTCTTGGAGGCCTTTCCACATGCCTGAAGGCCCATGTGCCTGGTACCATACTGTTGCTTGATGTTTACCATTTTCCAGAACCATCAACTTAAGAGCTTTGGTGGATTGGTAACTGAATCGTGTATGAATAATTTCTTCTTCTTCTTTTTTCAGTTGGCCAATTTTTTTTTCCTTGTCTCTGTATGTGTTTTTCTAGGAATTGCAAACTAGTACAGTTATAGTATAATGACTTACAAAATGAACTTATTGTGTTTTCTTTATCAATTGTGGAGTTTTATGTTTTGGAATTACAGATATGAAGAAGTATTACAGGCATGTGCACTTGATGTTGATATTTCACGAATGATTGGAGATGACCTAGCCTATATTGGAGAAAAAGGTCTTAACTTATCTGGTGGACAGAGAGCACGTCTTGCATTAGCACGGTAAACATTTCTTCTATACACACACACACACACATGTTTATTAGAAAATTAACCTATGTTAATGTGCTATCAATTTGTCTTTGTTTTCAGGGCAATCTATCGTGACTCTGATGTATACTTGCTTGATGATATACTCAGCGCAGTTGATTCACAGGTTGCTGTATTGATTTTACAGAAAGCAATACTGGGTCCTCTAATGAACCAGAAGACGCGTGTACTGTGCACTCATAATGTTCAGGTTGGCATTCATTGAAACTTGCTCAGCCAATTGTTGAAACAGTTTAACTGGTGGTCAGATATTGAGAATATGTCAATTGTCTCTGTAATGGATGAGAACATTAATATAACCAGTCTACAATCACAGAACTTTTGTTTTCTTGCCTATTATATGGCAATAGTTTCATATAAGAGATTAATGGGTATCCTTGTCAAGGAGGGGATTTCCCTCCTTGACGCCTATGTGGCACAATCTCCACCATCCTCATAAAGTAGGAGAGAGAGTGTGAGTTGGTGGGGATTGTGCCACATAGGTGTCAAGGAGGAAAATCCCCTCATTGACATAGGACACCCATTAATCTCTTCATATAAACATCCCTTTGAATGTTTTCTGAACATTGCAGAGCATAGGGTTTCATTGTGGAGTTCCAAAGCAAAGGAATTTACTTGTTCTATCTCTTGACAGGCAATATCTGCTGCAGATATGATCATTGTCATGAACAAAGGAAGTGTGAAGTGGGCTGGGCCATTTTCTAGTTTTTTACTTTCTCCATATTCGATGATGTCCACTTCAGAAGCTTCAAAAGATGCATCATCACAACTTACACTGATGGAAAATAGTTTATTTGTTCTTGAAAGAATGAGTTATGATAACCATCTAAGTGATTGTATATCTCTTTCAAAGGAAGCGCAGAATAGGACTGATGTAGAGGCAAGGGAAGAGGGTAGAGTTAATTTTAGAGTATACAAGTAAGTTATAGTTCTGTTTTATTCATATATTGAGAATATAGGGTAAATTTATGGCACTTCTTATAACTTCATGGAATAATAGGAAGTTTCTGTTCACCAAAATCATCACAATGCCATATCTCATTTGTGGATATAGTTGAAAGTATCATTTTAGTTATAACACCTGCGTCTTCTAGTAGGTTAATTCTATATTGCTTTTGTACTTCACAGAAGCTATGCCGCATATACTGGTTGGCCAGTTGTTAGTATCATTTGTATATCAGCAGTCCTCATGCAAGCATCTCGGAATGGAAATGATATCTGGTTATCTCACTGGGTGGATGCCACCACTGGAACTGAGTACATGATGTATTATATGGTAATAGTTTCAATATTTTATTCCTCTCAAGTACTTTTAATTGACTTTTCAATTTGGTGGTAAAACATATTTTAATATGTTGAGTAAGCCAGCTGAGTCTATTAAAATTTGAAACTGATACTAAGTATATTTTGTAGTTTATTCTCATTATCCTCGGTGCGGCGAATTCCCTTTTAACCCTTGTGAGGGCTTTCTCGTTTGCATATGGTGGTCTACATGCTGCAGTCAGGGTACACAGTGATCTTCTGAAGAAACTTGTCAATGCACCTATAATTTTTTTCGACCAAAACTCAAGTGGAAGGATTCTGAACAGGTTAGCAGAGTTTCAGCTCCAGAAAATTTGAGCTCTGGATTTCCTACTTTATATTTGATACTCGTGCAGATTGTCTTCAGATCTATACATGATTGATGATTCCCTTCCATTTATTCTTAACATTCTTCTAAACAACTTCTTGGTCTTATTGGGAATTACAACAGTCTTGTGCTATACACAGGTGAACTAGCTTTATCTGTCTGATTATTATGTATCAGCAGTTTAGGCAGCTAAGGTTCATTTTAACGATTGATCAATGGATATGCAGATAACTTTTGTTCTTCTGCTATTTCCTTTGGGGTTTATCTACAAAAAGTTGCAGGTATGAGTATTTCCTTTTCTTTGTTCTTTACCAGGAAATTGCAGTTTTTTGAGCTACATTTTCTAGATTTATACTTTCTTCTTTTGAATTTGTTGGTCTAGATTTAGCATGCACACGCAGCGCATAGGTATGTTTTTATTCAGATTGGAGTTGGTTCAGGTTTGTAAAACCAGGTTCCACTTGTTGGCCTAGTTTCAAAAAGAGTATGTATATGTTTCTTGCAAAAGCCTTTCAAAAATGACCATGGATGGCAGTACCACCAGGGAACTCACTACTGTCTTGTTTTAGTCCTTGCATAGGCATGTAACAGAGCTATGATATTTGTGATGTACATATTAGGTCAGATAACCATTACAGAATGATGTAGTTGCATCCAGAAGAAGGTGCATCCAACTATAAAGCTCGGTGTTTGGGTGACGATGAGAATGTGAACGTTAGATGCATCTCTGAGAATTGCATATCGTGCAATTTCTGTAGTCAATGAAGAATATTGATGATCATTTACTGTAAAGCTTAAGCTAAGGGTTGGCAGGTCACCATTGTGTAGAGGACAAGCTGTTTAATGCTTTGTTGGTTACCACTTTATTGAAAATCATATGTAAATATGTACACACTTCCTACCAGTTCTATCATCGAACATGTGACTGCTTCCTACTAGTTACGAGAGACAATATTCTTTCACAATGTCATGTGGTCAATAGAAATATAAAGTAGGCAGATGATTCTTGTTTAAAGAACTCTATGCTTAAGGAACAGCAGCTTAATGAAAGACCATTGACAAAACAATTGATGTTTTACAAGATACCTTGACTAAGATAAAGATGAACAGAAAACTTATTTGGAAGAAATGTAAAATTTTCTGTTTAGTTATCATGGTACATACTATCTTGGAAAAGAAAGCTATTTTCTTCGTAAAATACCATCTTTCATTACATGTACAATTCATCCTAATAGATGATGGGTTTCCTTATTTTTTATGATGTAATTAATTCTACATATATAACATTTCTTATGCTTTATCCTCTCTGAAACTTGCATTTTGTGGCTTCACAATGGCGAATTAACATCTTTTATAGTTTTACTATAGATGCACTTCCCGTGAACTTCGGAGGCTTGATAGTGTTTCTCGCTCACCTATCTATTCTTCGTTCACGGAAACCTTGGATGGGTCTGCAACAATAAGGGCGTTTGAGACAGAGGTAAGATGCTGTGTCTTACTTCCACTAATGGCAACATCATTAACGATTTAATTCCATTGATTTTCTTTGCGCTCTTTCTAAGCAGTTATCATTAAGCTCACTATAGAATTATGCGATATCTAATCATTTTCTGCAACTAGTGCTGTTGCTCTCCTTTAAATGAAGACTACTGTCTGAGACTTGTCCTGTTACTTTGTATTTCTATCAGTGTTTTAAATATCGGCCGACATGTCGGACATGTCGGCCGATATAGCGGATTGAGGGGTCCAACGACACAAATCGGGGAAAAACAAGTCGCATATCGTTTTTTACCGACATATCGGCTATATCGGCGAAAAATCGGCCATATCGGCCGATTTTCTTGTTTGGAAAATCGGCCATATCGGCCGATTTTCCTGTTTTTTCTTTTTTTTCTTCTTCACACGTGAATGTTTGGTTTGTGGACTATTTTGATTAATAATAGGCTAATGATTACTTGATGTTTGATCACTTGATTAATAATAGGCTAACTGATTAATAATAGGCTAATGATTATTGATTAATAAGGAGAGATTTATTTTATTTTAAATGTGCATATGAATGTTGAAATGTGCAGAGTCATGAAGTTATGAATTTAGGAATGCTTAGATAGTTAGATTACATTTAGGGCATGATATTATACATATGTGGATCACCCGATATGGCAATCCGATATTTAGTCCATGTCCCCCGATATATCCCCGATTTCCGCTATCCGACATGGATTTCAGCCGTCCGACATGAACCCGACATCCGATATTTAAAACCTTGATTTCTATTGAAACCTGCTTATTGTAACTGTGTTTCTTTTTGTGATAGTACTAACCCTCATTTTCTTTGTTTCTAAAAATTATGTGTGTAAAGAAGTGGACTTATTCTCAAGAATAATTTTGTTTCCTTTTGACTCCAATGGTTGCAATAAAAGAATCTTTATAGAGACAAGTTGAAGGGGCACAGAAAATAGCAAGGAAGAAGAAACAAAGAAGAAGAAATCAAGGTTTTGGCCCCATGCCCGGATTAATGGCCTTATGCCTAAATCAACGGTCTCAGGCTAGTTAAGGTCTCAGATGTTCAAAAGTAGGGTTTCATGCCTGTTAGAATTAGTATTTGAGTTATCAGGTTAGGGCCCATTAACCCATTAGCCTATTACCCATATGTAACCCTATATAAACTCATGTGAATGAAGTGAAGAGGTAAGCTCTCTGATTTCTCACTTCAACATGGTATCAGAGCCAATTTCCAAAACCCTAACCCTACTGCCTCCAAAACCCTAGCCGCCACAAAAAAAAACTATTGTACCTCCGAGCCCTAGCTGTCGTCGTCATCCTCTGTGCGAAGAAGGCTTTGATCTCGGCTGCTGTTCTCCTTCCACACTCGCCGTCATCGGAGATCATATCCTAGTCGTCGCCTCTGTCGCTTGCTCTTGTCGCCGTCGTCATCATCACCTGCTCGAGATCATATCCTAGTCGTCGCTGTCTCTTGTCGCCGTCGTCATCATCACCTGCTCGAGATCATATCCTAGTCGTCGCTGTCGCTTGCTCTTGCCGCCGTTGTCATCATCGCTTGCTCGAGATCGTCGCTCGTCCTCCTCAACCTCGACACCGCTGCTCGAGACCGCTACCCCGTCGTCATCCGAGATCGCCGCCACCATCGATGTCTTGCCCTAGGATCTCTTCTTTTTTTTAGTTGCTGTCATACGTTGTGATTGTTGGGCAATTTGTTGTGTAATTTTCTTGTTTGGGCTTCTCTGTTTGGGCCTCTCTTGTTTTGACCAAGTCAGAGTTTGTAACAACAACAAAAAAAAAAACAACAAAACAACAACAAAAAAGAACACTGACATTCGGTTAAAACCGAAACCCAAAAAAAAAAAATCTGACCTTCGGGTTCTCTTTTTTTAACCTTCGGGTTCCTGACTACTAAGTTAATTTTCGGGTTTTCTCCTTTTAACCTTTTGGTTCCTGACTACTGATCTTCGGGTTTTCTCTTCTACCCTTCGGGTTCTCACTCGGGTTCTGACCTTCGGGTTCCTGCAAAATGACCTTCAGGTTTTCTACTCTGACTTTCGGAGTATAACCCAGGTTACTCAGGTTCTGACCTTCGGGTGTGTTCTTTTCTAACCTTCGGGTTTCTACTTCAGACAAGGAGACTGTTACACTCCTGATATCGTACTATACTATTCTGTAACAATGACAAGATCTGACCTCTCTTCTGCTGCTACTACTACTACTGCTGAGATTTCTACCCCAAAGTCATTTTAGGGACCACCGTGAAGTTAAATGGCACCAACTACCTACTTTGGGCACAAGTCTTCCGCATCTTCATTGGTGCTCATAATAAATTAGCTCATCTTTGGGCTCCATCTCCCGCATCCACAGATCCCACGTATCCCGCATGGTTCTCTACTGATTGTTATGTGATGACTTGGCTTCTTAATAGCATGGAAGCCCAGATTAGTAGCAGTGTCATGTTCTCGAACACTGCTAAGGAAATGTGGGATAATTTAAAAATTATGTATGGGAATGAGAAAAATGCTTCCCGTGTTTTCGAGTTGTATGAACGTCTTTTCTCTCTTCAACAGGGTGATCGCTCTGTACCCGAATACTTTGGGGAACTGAAGAGTCTGATCGATGAATTAGAAATGCATCAGCTCGTCGTTACGGATGCCGCAACACTGTTGGGATATCGGAGGGACCTTGTTGTCTGGTCTGAATCCCACTTTGCAGTCTCAGATACGGGGTCAAATACTCGGAGAAGATACTATCCCGTCATTGACTGCTACATTCTTCAGAGTTATGCAAGTAACTACAGGATTGACTATTGCATCTCCATCACCGTCCGCTCCATCGCTTGATCAATCTGCTATGTTCTCTGGACGTGGCAGAGGTCGTGGCCGTGGTCGAGGACGTGGCCGCGACACAGGGGGAGGATGAGACACCTTTGGGAGACAGGTTGACTCAGATAAGACTCTGCATCAGTGCAGACATTGTGGAAGGACTAATCACACCTCTGAGAAGTGTTGGGAGAAATTTGGTCGCCCTACTTGGGCCCAGACTGCTGATGTTATATCTCCTTCTGTTGATTCTTCGACAACTACTTCTGCCCCCACCACTGTTCAGATTTCGCAAGCCGAGTATAACCGGTTGCGTCAACTTGAATCCTATTCTGGACGTGGCAGAGGTCGTGGCCGTGGTCGAGGACGTGGCCGCGACACAGGGGGAGGATGAGACACCTTTGGGAGACAGGTTGACTCAGATAAGACTCTGCATCAGTGCAGACATTGTGGAAGGACTAATCACACCTCTGAGAAGTGTTGGGAGAAATTTGGTCGCCCTACTTGGGCCCAGACTGCTGATGTTATATCTCCTTCTGTTGATTCTTCGACAACTACTTCTGCCCCCACCACTGTTCAGATTTCGCAAGCCGAGTATAACCGGTTGCGTCAACTTGAATCCTCTCAGAATATCCATTCTACTACTCATGCATCCTCTTCAGGTATGGATGCCTACATTACCTCTCCTCACAGGCCATGAGTATTAGATTCTGGTACCTCTTCTCATATGACAGGTGTAAAGGATCACTTTGTTTCTTTAAAACTTTCTGACCGGTTTCCATCGGTTCGCATTCGCTGATGGTACATACTCTCGTTCTTGGTGATGGAGTAGTCCATGCTACTTCATCACTGACCCTTACTGATGTCTTATATCTTCCCTAATTCCCTGTCAGTTTATTATCTATTAGTCAGTTCACCAAACACAATAACTGTAAAGTAACATTCTTTCCCTCTTATAATGTTTTTCAGGACCTGACAACTGGGATGCAGATTGGTTCGGGACATGAGAGATGAGATATGTACTATTTGGATGATAATATGCCTGCTACTGATCTTGTTACAGCAAGATCTGATCATCTTTTACTATGGCATCAACGCCTTGGTCATCCCTCGTTATCCAAGCTTAGATCTGTCATTCCTATTCAATCGTCTGTTTCGTCTTTAGGTTGTGAGTCTTGTGAACTGGGTAAGCACCATCGTGCTGCCTATCCGAGTCGTATTGATCACCACAGTAGTTCTGCGTTTGAGTTAATCCATTCTGATATTTGGGGTCGTTGTCGTATTCCTTCCGTTTAAGGGTTATCAGTATTTTCTTGTCTTTATTGATGATTTCTCTCGCATGACTTGGCTATATCTACTAAAAGAGAGATCTGAGGTTTCGATTGTTTTTGAAATCTTTTACAACGAAATCAAAAATCAATTCTCCACCTCTATCTGTGTCCTTCGTACCGATAATGCTTTAGAATACATGAAAAATGACATCTCTCGCTTTCGTGCAAATATTGGCATTATCCATCAAAATTCATGTTTTCACACTTCACAACAAAATGGAGTTGCAGAAAAGAAACATAGACACATTTTAGATGTTGCTCGGACTATGATGATACATATGAATGTTTCAAAGTATTTGTGGTCTGGTGTTGTTCTCAGTGCATGTTTCCTGATCAATAGGATACCCTCTCCTGTTCTTAATGGTAAAATACCATTCACATGCTTTTATCCTAACAAAAAACCTTTACCTGTGGTTCCTCGTATTTTTGGTTGTACTTGTTTTGTTCAGGATTTGTCTCCAGGACTGGATAAACTATCTTCACGGTCTATTAAGTGTGTCTTTGTAGGCTACTCGCGAACTCAAAAATGTTATCGGTGTTATAATCCATTCTCCAGGAAATATTTTGTGTCTGCAGACGTAACCTTTTTTGAGTCGGTTCCATACTTCTTCTTGACTGGTTCACCCCCAACTGTCAGTTCATCTGTGCCTCTTCCGTCTCTCGCTCCTACTACTGTTCCATTACCTGCTTCGGTTTCTTCTGCTGATGGATCTTTTCCAGGACTACAAAATGCTTCCACTATGCCGTCTGCACCACCACCACTACTGACGTATTGTCGTCATTCAAAAGTTTATGTCCCTCTCTGCTCCAGCCGAATAGTC